AGATAGATAGATAGATAGATAGATAGATAGATAGATAGATAGATAGATAGTGTATATAAAGGCCCATGCCTTCTATCTCTAGCTCTGCAGTGTATAGTCTAAAAAGATAATGGCAAGTCTCTTCTACCATTTAGTAATAAACCTCAAAGATTAACGTTCAGTCTTCATAGAATAGCCAACATACACTGGGCCTGCGTAAATAATCCATTGTGCTGACACTTCAAACAGTTTCTAAATAATTCATTCTACAATATCCATGATGTAATTCTAACCTTCAAAGGATTTGATAAGTTAGGGCACAATACAGTGGAGAGATTTAACTCAGTTTGTAACATCTCTCATACGCAGACATCATTTTTGTTTTCTAAAGCAAATCTTACTTATCTTCAGAGAGATACTACTCATATTATCAGCAGATTATCAATCATGATGTTAAGGGGAAAGGAATGAAAAGTCAAGAAAAGTACCAGAAGAAATTAACATATACTCAAAACAACAAGCTTGCGTATTTAAAGCCTAGAATTACTTGTGGCTTCTATGAAGGGGGCTGGTGCCAACAGTATAGAGAATGTCAACTAATTTTTTCCATAATAAAAAACTGGTAGTTCATTTATTCACTGAAATCATATGACAGTTTAATTTTCACTGGCATAATTGTCCAAAGCTCGGAAAGATGTTTTTTTTGTTTGTTTTCGTTTGTTTATTTGTTTTTAGGTACCACACATTATAGAATCTCCCAGCCAGCATCTTACCAGGATCTGATAATTACACAAATTGACATGGTCTGGTGAAGAGGTAGACATTTGTTTAATGCTGGTAGAGTGCAGGTTATGTAAACAAAATAGAAATGTTACAGCCACTCACAATGCGAGTACCTAAAGACTTGCATACTTTGCAAGAAGATAACAGAGAAGTTAAGAGACTAGAATAAGAGATTGAGCATCACAAGTCTCTGCAACTGTAAATGTCTTAGCAGATCTTGATCCATTACTGAAGATTTAAATAAAAACAGGTGTTTCAGGATTCTAGAATCTCATTCTGGGGCTCCAGAAAATAAAATTGTATAGTTCTGATCAAAAATATAGTACATTTTTGCTGTTTTGTGAACAGGTGCTGTATGTTATTTAAACAGGCTTCATGTTTGTTTATGTTTTAGATATGTATACTAAGCATGACTTATTTTTAGAATCATCTCAAACACATTCTGCTTTGGATATGGCTGAGGATACTGCTACTTTAAAGTCAAGGTAAATAAGTTTTGAAAGAATGAGTTGCTTCTGTATTAACAAGTTCATGTTACCTCATAGTAAAGCCAAACCCAAAGGTTTTCACATCAACATATCCATGAACAGGACTCTAACCAAAGAGGGTGATACGTAGCCCATCCCAAATTCAGTGAGACCATTTTGCACGGAATATGTGCGTCTGAGAGGGAGGTTGTAATCATTGTTACAAAGCTAGCAATTGGGAGCCGTGCCTTACTAGCCAAGCACATGTATAAGCTCCTTTTCAGACCGTCAAACTCAATATACAAAGATCTCATTGACTTTTGGAGGGGACTTAGGGCAGGACTTACATCTTTAGTAAAGTTATAGACCTATTCATGCATTCAAGAGCAGGTCTTTTATTTACTGCTAAACTCTTACACATGGATACTGAGTGGATACAGTACAAAAAGAACACATTTTTTATTTTGCTATATGTAACGGCCTCCTTCCACCTCACAAAGGAAGGTCGCTACGTCATCACACTTCTACACTTCCGGTAGTCTGCCATCAACCATTCCCTGAATAGAGTCACACAGACTGGAATGGATTTAAAAATAAAAGAACTAAATGTTTATTGATTGGTACACATGGAGTGGTAAAACACATATGTCATGTAATCAGGTAACGAAAGGCTGAAGCTTATACAGGCTCTCCACACGTGTTCACATAGAACCCAACTCCTTCTCTCCCCACATCAAACTCTCACTCTCTCATATATACAACACAGCTCCTCCCCCTGATGTCCCGCCCTCCGACCACCATTGGATGACTCACAGGTTCAGACTCAGTAGAATGTGCAAACTGTCACTTCATTTAGAAGTATTAGTGAAATCCTATTGGTGTAAACTTGTGCCACATCTGTCGAATGATGTCATCACTGGGTGGCAGAAAAAATTAATTAGCTTAAAGTTTTGCTGTATATCTCTCTTCAGGCTCTGAAACTCCCTAGGGATCCATTTTCCCCTTGGGAAGCCATTGAGAACCTCAGGAAGGGAACGTCTAAATAATAGAAAATCATTGCCACCAGTCCAGTGGTCAGATGGCTCCTGTCAATTTTCAAGAACAGGGATTATTTTATTTAATTAAAGTGAACCCATTACCAGATGATGGCACCATCCATCTTACATTATATAAATTTAAGCCAGCAGGACTTCAGCCATTATGTTTCATCTGATATGAGCTGACTTGAAATTACTCTCCATAGAAATAAGTTTTTTCAGGCAATTCAGATTAATATACATGTGGGAACCAAGTCAATGATGGTAGTAGTTGAGTGGCTTATAATTTACAACAAGTCTAAAAAGCTGTTAAATAGGGAGCAGTTCTCTCTAATGCATCCGTTCTCTCTTTAATAGTGGAGATCCAGGGCTCTGTCTGGATGCTGAAGTGGCCTTAGCAACAGGACATCTACTACCCAGCAGTCCAAAGTCAAGCAGTGCTGTCTCACACTACTCAGAGTCGTGTGGTGAAACTTCCTACTCATTCAATGACGAGGATGAGGATGACGTGTCTTCCCCTGAATAAAGGCACACCAGCCAAATGAAGTACTGCTGTTGTGCACTGTTTGTGTGAGCTTACATTCTTTCTGTAGTTCTCTTCCATATTTTGCTTCTTTGCCCTAAATGTTTTTATGAAGATTGGAAAAGACTGATGTACAGTATTATCAGAGACAAAGAAACAGCTGATAACTAATTAGAAGCAACATATTATGACAGAGCAAGCAAATAATACTGTATTTAATTCTGTTCATGTAGGGATGGTATATTGATGCCTCCAAACAGCAGATAGATTCTCTGGCATTTTTGTCAACAGTACTTTCATCTAGTCCATGCAGTGCCATGGACCTTCTCTTCCTCCCCCAAGGTGCTTGGCACATACCCACACAGCAGAGTGAGGCACAACAGCAATAAACCATCCATTTGATCTTGCATTGCTCCTCACGGTGGTTATCAGTTGTTTTTATGTATTTGCATTATAATTAGTCCTCACCAGAGTGTCACTGTTTGGGATATGAAGAGGCTTGGTGTATTGGAACCAAAAGAGCCTCTTGGAGGTCAGATGACTTCATTTTGCTTCATGATCCAGTGTGGCTGCATGCTTACCATCCTCTATGGTCTTCCAGGCAAATGTAAAACCCTCACTAGAGCCCATGACAGAGTCCAAGAGCCCACGTGGTCTGCTACAACTTTGTGTGTATTGTTTGGGACCCAAATGCAGAATGGTTGAATTAGTCCACCGTGTTTTTTTTCCCCATTTAGTGCCAAGGAAAGTAACAGCTTCCAGGAAGAGGAGTGCAGAGAAGGAAAAGGCACCATTCTGCTTTCAGTGTTGTGGGTAATGCTTCCTTATCTGCCTTCATATATTCCATTCATCATGTATGATACTTGCTGTCAGATCTCTGGGAAATTTCCTTTCTTTGAAAACATTCAGTATGTATATTTAATGCCAACATATTGAATTAGATTAGAGCAGAACAACTGTTGGGTATACAGTACTTTGTTCCAAAATCCTTACTGTATATGGATTTGCTGTAGAAGGATTTTGAGCTCAATATGTTCCATTGTAACTTTTTGAAATTTAGCATTAGTATTTTCCCATATTGCCATTTTCTCTTTCTGTTATTAAGCAGTGAGACAGTGCTCCCGGCATTTTCTCTGCAGCTGCTGGTTTTTAATGTTTTTTTAAAAATGAAGAAAGTAGACTGAGAGTATTTAAATATGACACTAAGTACTAGCATTTTAACAGATCTGTCTTAATTTCCATCTTAAATGTTTATAAAAGTGAATCAGAGAGGGAGCTTAAATGGTAGCAAAACCATAACCTTTTCCTTGTAGAATCTTGTATTTCTGTAAAATTCAAACAGTTTTAATTATAGATAAGGAATTAAATTATGAAAGTTTGCTTTCTGTTTTTATGCTAAACCTGTGAAATATTGCAGATATTTGACTAAAACACAGCAAAAGACTAAAAAGGGAAAAACATGGGAACATTTATAACCTCACATTTTAAAAATGGATCTATACAGCTACAATTATACAGTGCTGTTAGGAAAAGAAACTCTAGTGTCTTAAGTGTGACAGCATGGATGGAGACATAACTATTGCTCCCTATTAACTGAGTAATGTTTTAAAATTTTACTTTAATAAAGCAGGTTCAGCCAAAGTGGACAGTACATACTAGTTTCATCACAGCATGATTTTACTACAGATCACTATTATTTAAAGAGCAACTGTTTAGTTTTAAGGATACATTGCTACCCAGGAGCTAATAGGAGTCCCTTCCAAGTTTTTATGTTACTGTTTGAGGCTTGGCAAATCATTAGGCAACCTTTTATATATCTCAAATACTGGCCGTCACAAAACCTAAAGCACAGAACTCTAAATAGAGCCGTAATTGATCAGGCATTGCTTTGTTGGTGCTGGCAAAATGAGAAAGGAGGTATGCAGCTCCTTAAAGTTTGGAGAAATGGTAGAATAAAAATGAAGTAACCCTTAATTTCCTGTACTCTACCCTGTTTCCCCGAAAATAAGACCTAACCTGAAAATAAGCCCTAGTATGATTTTTCAGAATGCTCGTAATATAAGTCCTACCCCCAAAATAAGCCCCAGTTACGTGAAACCCCACCTCCACCATTGTGCAGCAACCAGAAGATGACACAACTGTATTTGAATAAATGTAGATTGTTGTACATGAACAAAATTAAACATACCCAGAAAATAAGCCCGAATGCGTTTTTGGAACAAAAAAATTAATGTAAGACCCTGTCTTATTTTCGGTGAAACACAGTAGTTTTCTCATCTGCCCTCTCATTTAATATTTTAGAATCCAATGTGACTGAAGCAAAAAATACACATTGTAGTACAGGAGGCATGCATTTTAATGCAAGTCTCCCCATCCACGTTTGGCAGGTCCAAAGCTGCCGTGCATGCCAGTTTTATTCCTGCCAGGGCTTTCCTTGCAGTTGGTTTCCAATGCTAGATTTTAGCTGGCTGGAGTGGGGTGGGGGGGAGGCACCTGACTGGGAGGAGCTGAGAGCAGCAGATCCTGTAAGACTTCCTTTGTACAGTATGTCTGTTTGATGTTTAACCTGTCCCCCCACACTTTGCTTTATACAGCAGTGTACATCCCCTTGTTGAAAGGAGCATGGTTCTTACAGCATGTTAAAAAAGAGAGAGAGAGAGAGATTCTCATCTAGGAGAAATAGTGGAAATGATACCGATGCACCATTTGCTCCAATCCAACATTTTCTTTCATGGATGTTAATAGCTATTCTTTATGTTTGTTGCCATGCCTTATTCCACTGCTGGAGCAGATCCTCAAAGCCATTTTCAGGTTCGCCACATTTTTGCCCGTGCAAATGGACATGGTGTTGATGCAGTGCCTGTATTTTCTAGACTAGCACCCTGCAGATTAATACACATTAATCCTCAGGAATTACTCCTCAGGAATACTAATATTATTGATGGTCATGAGACAGAAGACATAGTCACATATTAAAATACACATTACCTAAAAATATAGATATTTGAAACCTCTTATGGATCTTGTCTTTAATACTCTCAACTTGCAAATGAGAATTTTTTATATATATAAAAATCTCCTCCTCCCCATTCAAAAAAAAAATGTCTGACCACTGAGCATTGTATGTGACTATTTCTGGTTGTAAAACTAAATAGAACACTGGGTTTATGGTTGTTTTACCTTACTCAAGGAAATCTGTATGAACTGTCATTAACATCATTACTCATACTGTATTCAATTATAAATATCAAGCTGTTATATTCTAGGACAAAACCTTGTAAACTGAAAAGGAAGGAACCATGAGTATACCAGTTGCATGTTTAAAGAGGAAAGATTTCCTGTACTCAGGCTATCAAAGTCTGTGCCAGAAATTTGAGTCAATGATCATTTGTTTGTATAATTTACTATTCTGCTTACTATATGTAGGTTTTGTTAGGTAGAGGCACAGTGATAGGTGGGGTATCTTTACCACTGGAGGATTACTTACTTCAGAAATTATTACACATGTATTTTCAAATATATCTACTGAACTATAAGGGCTAGAAACTTACTGATCATGTGTATGTGCTTTTAATTAAATCCCTTTATTTTTAATCCTACATTTTGCACCATTTCAACTTAGTTCATTTATTCTTCGGGTGTAGTGCTTGTCTGCAGTTTTACAAATCAGAACAGGAGACTGTTCCTCCGTTCCCTGTGCCATGAGCATGTTGGTGCCATGAAGTTCTATGATGATGATGATGATAAAAATTGTTATAGGGAATAGGGAGGCCTATTCCTTAACCTAGTCATGTGGGAAGAGAGGGACAGTAATATGAGAGGAATATGCAGACATTCCATTCTCCATAACGCTGTGCTTATAAGAATCCCTCCACATACAAGCACTGCATTAATAGTAGGACTGGACTGAGTCTTTGAATTAGATCAGATTAATCTTGGGAAGAGACAAAATATTCTTTAGCCAAAGAAACTGTTGATGCAGCATAAATAATATTGAAGGCCTTGCCCTTTATTTTGACTGTGTTCCTTTTTGTGTGCAGTATTGGGGAAAAGTTCAAACGTTTTGTAAAATGATATATAGGACAATCAAATCATCATAGTTCATCATATACTGTTTCCTTCTAAATAATATGCCTTGCAATATTTTGCAGTTAAGGGCATAGAAAATAAGAGCAAGTATGAAGGAGTCTTAATGTTTTTGAACTGGAGCTATTATTAGATATGAAGTTTAAATAAAGATTCTGCCTTAATTCAAACCTAATTTTAGTATTGGTGATTTTCAGATCTACTGCCGTCATTAACATTACTATCAATAACACATAAAAGAATTAATTTTCTTTACTAGCATCTTTAATGATAAGCTTCTTCCCAATTAAATGAGTAAAAGGCCTGTTCATATATTACTGTATAGATTCTAAGTGAAACTGGCAGGATAGAAATTTGTCACAAACAGTAGTCATGGTTCCTATGATTAGCTGCTATACACATAGCCACCACATATAACATTCTGAGCAGCTTTGTGTAGTGATTAAAATACCAAACCAGTTGAAGTGCAGTGTGACTAATTTGCAGTTCATAAATGAATTTGCAGAAGTTTTAATGTTTTGTGAATTAACTATAAGATCATTTTAATTATCTTCTATTGCTCTTGTTTTTATATAACAGCTACTGAATTAATTTCATTGAATTTTTACAACCGCATGATATATATTGTGCAGAATCCTATTGGCAGTTGATGTTTAAGGTAAATGATATATGTTTTGTCAACAGTTTGCCACTCATTCATGTCTGGGCCCAGGAACACAGCCAGCACATTGCTAATATGCTGCACTTTGCTGTTGCAGCTTGCACAGTTGCTCTTACACAAAAGTAAATTGCCAGTAAGATTCTGACCAAAGTTTGTATAAAATTGTAATGGCATTTTGTAAGATAGAAAGAAACACACCTTTACTCTGAGATTGTTTCTATTAGAAAGACGTTTCTTATTGTGTAAGAAAATGCACTTTATAAATAAATACTCATTATTTTTAATGGAAATTTTCTATAAGAATCTAATTCTGTATATTTGAAGTGGTCCTGTATTTTATTAAAATGCCACAAGTGAGGATTTTTGCAAGTATTTGCATCGGATTGAAATGAAAAGCATGCATGCACTGAAGAAAAATAGTATCCAGCTGTTTGTGACCTGAGAAGTAAAACTAAGCTGTAGAACACAATAAAATAATTTAAAGACAACTGGGGTGTTCTTGTTTTCTAGCAAAACACTGTGAAAGAGGAAAGCTGTCAAAGGTTAGTTTTTGTTGCATGTGTTCTCCCATTTCAGAAAATACATCTTACAGAATAAACTGCAGGGGAAATAGGATCAAGTCAAACTGATGTTTTCAAAATAAATATAAAACATCACTAAATTCAACACTTGGTAGTTTCTAGCACAACATCCAGTTAATTATCTTATTTTTGAACTACATTGTAGGTTTCTTCCCCATCTCTCTGCTGCTCATTTTATATATTGCTGGCAGGTCAAATACCAAAAAAAAAGTTTTTCTAAAAACACTAATCTAATGGTATTCACTGGGAAGCCAAGTCACACTAAGATCAATGAGACTTGCTTCTAAATGAGTGTGCATGTTATTGCAGCCAAAGTAATTGTATCAAATAATAATAAAAGTGTAATTCAATTAAGTACCGTACTATAGTCCTTAATGTTTACCATGCAGAAATGGATGTATGTCTGAACACATTAAAAGTGTATGAAGTTAAATTTCCACAATGGAAATTTAAAATGCTTGTAATGACAAATTTAAGTTGATGTTCATTTTTTCCTCCTGCTTACCTTTACTATTCTTTTTAAACATGTCATGAATGTGTAATATACAACTGGAGAACATGTCTCCATAGTATCCTGAAATGTGCAGAATTGGCATGTTCCGATTATTTTAATTACATATTCTCCCATTTAATGATTTAAAATGATACAGTTATCTTTAAATTTTACTCCCTTCCCTATTGCATATCATACAGAAAACCACACTAGATTCATATGAAGGAGGTATGAAAATTGGTGTAACAAACATTGATAGTATTTTAAGATGAAATCATTTTACTGGCAGAAAGCCGTGATTTGAAATTACTTTAGTGAAAGAAGAAAGTGCTAAAGGACTGCAGTTGAACATCAAAAAGACAAAAAATCATGACTAGAGAACTGCAGCTTCAATGTTGACAGTGAAGAAATTGAAATGGTTAAAGATTGTGTATACTTTTGTTCAATCCAAATGGAGACTGCACCCAAGAAATCAGAAGATTGAGACCCAGAAGAGCAGCAATGGGGAAAGGAAAAAGATAATCAAGTTTAAAGTTGTTTCACTGGAGATCAAGATCCACACTCTTGTATTCCCGATCACCATGTATGGAGTGTGAAAGCTGGACATTAAAGAAACATGACAGAGAAAAACTGGAGAACTTCAAAGATACTTTGGACTACCAGGAAGATGAACAAGTGTGTCCTAGAGCAAATCAAGTCTGAAATATCTCTTTTGAGGCAAAGAATTATGAAACTGAGGTTTTCATACTTTGTGCACATAATTAAAAGGTAAGATTGTCTGAAAAAGACTAGGAGAAGTTGGGAAGCTAGGAAAGATTGAAGGCAGCAGCAAAAGAGGAAGACCAAAGGCAAGATTGATTGGCTCCCTAAAGGAAGCCATAGGCTTGAGTTTATAAGAACTGAGCAGGACTGTTGAGGACAGAACATTTTGGAGATCAATCCTCATAGGGTCACCTCAGAGGTGAACTGACAGCACATGACGACTTTAAAATTAAAACAAATCCTTTGGAAATGCTAAGAAATATGATAGCATGAATGTAATCTTATTTTTCTGCCTAACAACTTTGCAGACGTCATTCTGTCAAAGAAGGCAAATCTCAGCAGTACAAAACCTTGAGAACAAAGCAAGCTACTTCTTACCCCTTTCCTAGTCTCAGCTCCCAGCTCTTAGAGGAGTCTGCTGGATCATGCCAGCTTCTGAAGTTTCATGGCTGCTATTATTACCATGCAG